TTGTAAAAGCTAAAAGTAAAAAAAGTATAGGGCTCTGAATGTGAAATCTCCCAAAGTAGCACCAATTCTAGTAGTATAGTTTTATATAAACTGCATAGGAATGAGGAAGAAGAGATACCAAATTTAAAAAGGTGCTTTTACCACCATTTTTATGTAGGACAGAAATCAAAGATGATATTTTAAAAGGTGCTGACAAATCAAAGGTCTTTGATGGTAGCTGTAAAGTAGCTTTCTAAAAAGAGGGGAAAAAACACTTGGGAGAGGATTGCTTTGACTCGATTCAATAATTTTTTTTTTTTTAATGAAGGGAGTTGTGTCACAGTGCACTGGGGATTATATTGTAGCAGGAAAAGCTTTCTTTAAGTAAGCAAGAAGTAAATGTCCTTTTTCAAGAAACTCAGTTCCCAGATTCACTAGACATTTAGTCTTAGGTTCTAGTACCAATTGCAATGATAGCAATATAAATTTTCTTAGGAAATATAAGATTCTTCAGGAATACTTGGGTTGCGAACCAAAGGGTCAGCAGTTTCAACCCACCAGCCTCTCTGGAAGAGAAAGGTAAGGCAGACTCCTCCCCATCAAGATGTACAGCCTCAGAAATCTGATGGAGGGTTAACCTGAACTGGAACTGACTTGATGTAGTTAGTTTGTTTTGGGGAAGTACTGAATAAGATTTCCAAACAAAACTGCTAAAATGAAATAGTAAAAAATTTAACTTTACCTATTTAGAAAAGTCACTGTATTTCCTGTTAGATAATAGCAGTGTTGCTATATATTAATTATTCATTGAATGTCTACAATATTGACGCATGCTGAGGACCAGAATTCATACTAAAATGAAATAAATTTGACTGCTACATAAAGAGCTCAGAACGAAATTATTCCAGAAGTAATTGAGTCCTGGGAATTTTTTCACCAAAGCCATTTTGTTTGCAAATTTTACCTATCAAAGTGTACCAAAAATTCCTTGAAATAATTTTGATCATAGTGATATTTGCTTTAGATTATGTGGAAATATCAAGGCTACACAAATGGAATTTACTGGTTAACAGACAAGAGAGAAATTCTTCAGAATGTTAAGGGAAAAACATATAAAAACTTCTAACAAGAAAGTCCTCAGAAAGTATAAGGCTAGATAATTTGTAAAAACCGTACCTCAAAAGTCTAATTTTGCAGGCAAGAGCATTTCTACATATTAATAAATACTTTAAAATTATTCTTGATATGGTGTCCTTTTAAAGTTTAAGATTCTTTAAAATACTGAGTATAAACAGTCAACCTTTCCACACAGAATTAAGGCTTTTAAAATATAGATAACAAAACCTCTACTAAGCATATGCTTCTACTTTTAATAGAGTATTCTTTTCATTACTATATAATAATGGCATATGCTTACATTTATGCTTGGGCAACAAGTTTCATCTACAAACCAGTAAAAGCTGACTTTAAACTTAAGTAAAATGGCTCTTAAATCCTGGTATCTTTTATAAAACTCTTAAGTTTTATGGCAACAGCTTTAAATTGATTTATAGAGGCAGCAGGGTAGACTACCTTGGATTAGGAGGTGAAAGATCTCCCTGAGTTCTATTTCTAGCTCTGACATTTAGTGTGGCCTTGGATAAATAAAAATCTTTTTTTCAAAATTAAATCACAATTTCTGAGCCACAGTTTTTTTACAATACAAAGCAGTGGTTATAGGTGTCTTGGCTGTCTTTAAGGGGTATGAGTGGCTGAGGGCAGGGATAGGGAAAGATGCTTTATCATTTATGCACAGAATATACTAATAACCTCTTGAAAAAGTGACTTTGAAAGATTAGATAATACTGTAATTTGCATTGTTACTCATCATAATCAGAATGGCAATGAATCAATGTTTCCATTCAAATGCCCTTGAAACTGACAGTATTTGTGAGCTATGAGTGGCTACAGCACAGCCCAGTCAACTACCTTCACAGAAATTGAACCTGTGACTCTGGCATCATTTTCAGTGAGTCCATTCAGCCACCCACTCCTATGAGTGTGCATTGCTAAAGATGAGTAGCTCCATTCGGAAAATTTTGAGTCACAACAGTGACAGCGGCATTTAGTTTCTTTCATTTTTAAAGCAATGCCATCCTAAGTAACCACACATTTTATTTTATTATTGCACTGTCACCATCTTAAATGTCTTTATATTCATGTCTGTTTGCCTTAACAAACCACAAACTCACTGAAGGCATGAAGCTTTCTTTAGAAAAATCTGTAAACATTTGACTGAAACAGTAACGGAATTGTGAAAACCTAGCAAAAGCAAGAATACATCTTTTAATAGTCTCAATTTTAAATTTCTCAAGTTTTACTAGGTAATGATTTTAAAAAAACACCATTTAAAATGAAACCACTAAATGTCTATTCATAGCATTCTGATCAGTAATACTGGACATTAATAATAAGTTTCATTCATTCATGAGTATCTCCTATACTCTACAGAAGTTGATTTGTGCCACTACTAGAACCTCTACTCAGATTATTGCTTTTTAATTTTTGACTCATGTACTTTTAACTTGTTAAATTTGTGTCTTCTAGGCTGCAACACTTCCATGATGTATCTTCAAGGATATGAACATGTACGGCTAAGCACAATTGATAACAGCACATCTAAATTCCAAAATCAATCTCCATAATAGTCTATGTGTTTCCTACTGCCAAAGGGGCCCTTTGGAGTAGTGAGAGAAGATCTTCACCCTGAAACCCACAGCGTCCCTTTCAGCAGGAAGTAGCTAAGAGAATACGCCATCCCCTTTTCCTTATGAATCAGGGTGAAGTCTCTCTCAGGGAGGAGTGATAGGAAATGGCAAAGGACACACTGACAAAGGAGATTAATCAGAACTGGCTTTGACAAGCACTGTGGCAATTGGACAATTAAAACAGACATTCAGGGGGAGGGGGAAGAAAAACGAACTGGGGAGGAGAGAAACAGTGCAACAATGAATGAAAACCCAAAATCTCTGTAAATGTTCATTAAAACTAATAAAATTAAAAAAAAAAGAAGTTCAATAAAGGCAGGTATCTTCATTACAAAACAAAGAATGTGACATTCAGAAAATAAAGGAACACATTCAAGAAAACACACTTGAGGAACCAGAGAATAAGAATTAAATCTGGAACTGTTCAACTCATTATCCACCAAGTTTTCCCTTCAGTTTACGAATTAAACAGCCTGAAGATTAAGGCAGAGAGAAAGGACAAAGGTGTAGACATCATTCAGTTTTAAGGGCACATGATTATTACAGCTATCATACTGAGTGTTGTATAGCTGTAACTCTTGTTTCAGCTTGAAATCTCATCGTAACTTATTCAATAGAAATAAATATTATCAGAGCTAATCTTGAACCCCCTACTTCATCTACTGATATTTAATTACATGGGTAAAAAAATTCTAAAGCAATCTGTCAAAAAAAAAAATCAATGCTCTCCTTATAAAATTAAATCAGAACAGAATCACTGCAAATACCTTTCATTCTGGAGGGAATTCAACAACAAATTATATTGTACACATTCCATTCACTTTGTTTAACCAATTAGTCTTTCTCTTAATTCACAGGTCACACGTCTGCCTCCAGTAAATTGACTTAAAATCTCCAAACAATATCACCACGGTTTGTCGGTGTCCCCGCACCTTTCACAATGGAACTAGATGGAATAACAAAGAAGCAATCTCTACAGTTAAAGATCTGACTTATGCCAAGTCCAGCTGAGGTCGCAAGATGGGTACCAGAAAAAAAAAATAAATCTGCAATCAAAGAGTATTCTTGAGAAAGTTTTAATCCGAGATCGGCCTCTCATTATAAGGAACATTAAATACGAAAAGCATAAACTTAATTTCCATGACCTTAGCGTAAACGGCAAGGGACAAACGAAGTAATAGTCTTTCGTTCTGGTTCATTTAGATCGAAATACGCTCTTTGGTGAAGTTCAGGTGGGAAATGAAGAGGAGAAACACAAGTTACTTTCTTAAGAGACAATCTTGACAGTGTCACAAAGAAGACTTATTAATACACATGCTGTATCTCCAAGGGCCGAGAAAAACCAACTGAACTCAAACCTTCCCTCTTTTACTTCCAGAGGTGACAAAAGCGCGAGGGATGCCACGATTAAAAGGCTCGAGATTTCTCTTGCTTAGAGAAAACGCCCTCTTAAGATCTCGGTCTCACGTGGGACAGAATTCGTTTAGAAATTAGGATATGGTTGCATTTGAGGAGAATATGATGTGGATGCAAGACCCTCCGGGCAGTACGACCTGGCAGCGGCTACCCTTCCCCCACTCACCTCCCAGGGCGCAGCAGAACTAGAACTGTCCGAGTAACCGCCGCCATCATCAGGCTGAGCGTTCGAGGAGGCTTAAAAAGGAGGTTCAGCCACTCCTGCACCTCGTGTAGGTCCTACAAGGCGGGTGCTCTTCTAGAATCGCCCCCTCTTGGCACTCGGTCCAGTCTCAGACGTCGCGGTCCCCGCCTCCGCCTAATCCCAACGCGCAGCCACCACTTCCGTATTGGGCTCCTTCCCTTCCTCTGTTACTCCCCTGGGCTCTCGGATCGTTTCCTCACCGTCCGCGCGCAGTGACGCCACCACCTCGCGACCCTCCGTCCGAGGCTGCGCCCGACGTGGGCGGGTTTGAGCATGCGCATTGCGGGGGGCACGCCAGAGCGCGGGAAAAGGCGCTGTGTAGCTGCTGCTTTTCGGCTGCTCTCAGCCCTGAATCCTCAATCTCTTCGGTGAGTGTTGGCTCCTGATGACCCCCCACCCCCCACCCCACGGCCAAAGAGAAACACATCCCTCTCTTGGTTTATTTTTCTGACAGATCCTCTGCTGCAGTCTTGCTTTTGCCACTCAAGAGAGAAACAGTGATGCCGAGAGCACGCTCAAAAAGAGACGAGTCTTTCTCGCTAGCCCCCTGACTTGCTTCGCTTTAAAAAATATTAAGACTAGCTTTTGTAAAACATTTCCAGATAAAGCGAAAGATGCCTGCAACACAGAAACCCATGAGATACGGACATACGGAGGGACACACAGATGTCTGTTTTGATGATTCTGGGAGGTAAGGTACTTTGAGGAACAAAAAAGACGTATCAGATAGAAATATTAGAACATTTCTTTTTTAAAAACTTTTCATTGTTATTTGAATAGAAGTTTACAGAGCAGATTGCTATTCCATTCAACCAGACATACATACTTTGCTTTATGATAGTTTGTCACTTCCCACTTGCTCACTGTGGTTTTTATTTTCCATCTTTTCTCTTCCTACTTCGTAACATTTATCCCTAGGCGCATGCTGCCCATATGGTCTTGTGTGGTTGATTATAGAACACGTATTCTTGTCCTGAATGTAGTCAGCTTAACAATTGCTTATGCAAATATAGGTAGTGTAGAACTTGTAAATGGCAAATATATTTTCTTTAGCTTTACTGTTTGATTTGGAACATCTTAGTCTTTAGAGAATCAAAAAAGTTAACTTGTAAATTCTTTCATAGAAAATGTGAACCTACCTAGTATTTTCCTCCGCTCCATTTATTTCTACAAGGTGTTATTTCCCGGCAGTTGTTTTCTAAGCCTTTCTATTCTCTTACTGTAAAGCGGTTCCAGTTTTTGCTGTACCCTCTCACTTTTTACAGATTCACTTATTTAAAAAAAATATTTGAGCATCTGCTCTGCTGAGAGCTGGAAGTGCAATAATGCAAACAAGACATAATTTTTTTTCCATTATTAAGCTTAAGGTCTTTTTGGATTGACAGATATGGAGCATAAATTAATTGCAAAAATGAGTATATATTGGAAATACACTTAAGTGATATTTTAATATATGTATGTGTTGGGATACTGATCTAGTGGGGAGGCAGGGGTAACTTCTCAGAGAGTGTTCATTGAAATTAGAGCTGAAGATTTAATGAACATTAAGAAACATAAAGAAATGAGTGGTAGTGGCAGTGTGCGTAGGGAACTGTGATTCCAAACATTGGTAATAGTGCAGAGTTTGTGGTCGCAGGGATTATATACACTCAAAGAATTATGTAAATGTGGTATAAATTTATATATTTGTGAGGTAGGTAGAAGCTCTGGTGTTGTAGTGACAAGAAGCTGTGCTGTAATCCTGAAGGCGTATGTTCGTCGCCACCAGCTGTTCTGTGGGAGAAGGATGGATAGTCTCTTCCCATGCAATTAACTGCCCCTGAAAACTCGCTGCAGGGTCAGCTATGGGTTGCTTTCGACTCTGTGGTACACAGCAACAACAAGTAGTGAGCAACCTGTATAAGGCCTTCTAGACTTTACTAAAGAATCTTAGTTCTGTTTGGGCTTTTTTTTTTCTTTTTCTCTGTCTCAGCCTGTGCTCAGCACATGCTCCATCATCTGGTTCCCAGAACTCAGATTGCTTAGTGGTCTGGTCATCACTGACCAGGGCTCACAGTGACAGCTGCAAAGGCCTTCCTATACCTCCTTATTTCTAGCCTCACCCACTGCCCTTTACCCCTATCTGCTGATATCCTGTCCTCATTCCCAAAAACGCCAAACACGTTTTCATAATCCTCTTTGGCTCAGGGCAAGCAATACAGCCCTGCGAGACCCTAGTCATATGGAAAATATCACAGGCTCATCAAGGGGTTAGATGAGAGATTGGGAAGCATCCCAACCCACCAACCCTGACTGCACTCAACCTCTGATCCTCAGCTTCACTATTGTCTGCTGTTCTGCACTGAGACTTCTCACCCACAGAGCAGTTTAGGCCTAAGAAACTTGTTTTTATCCTAAAAGTAGTAGGAAGCTTATTACAGTTTTAAAGTGAAGAGGAGATGTGATCAGAGTATTGTTTCTCAGAAAGTACATGGAAAGTGAGTTTTAAAAAGAGCCAGAATGCATGCATATGTTCTTACTTCTATTAGGAAATGCCTACCTGTGTTAATGAAGAAAGCAAATTATTTGAGATGTTGGACTCAGTGAAGAAGAATGTGGCATCAAGATTGGAGGATGACTCATCGATAACCTGCCTCATGCAGATAACACAATCTTGTTTGCTGAAAATGAGGAAGACTTGAAGCACTTGTTGCAGAAGATCAAAGAATACAGCTTTTAATATGGATTGCATCTCAGTGTCAAAAAAATGAAAATTCTTACACTGGATCAATAGACAACATCATGATAGATGGAGAAAAGATTGAGGCTATCAGTGACCTCAGCTGACTTGGATTCACAATCAACACCCTTGGTACCAAGTAATCAGGAAATCAGGAGACATTTTTCACTGGGAAAATCTGGAGTCGGAGATGTCTACAAATTGTTGAGGAGTAATGATGTCAGTTTGAGAACTAAGGTGCATCTGATGCAGGCCATGGTTATTCTGATTACTTGCTATGCATCTGAGAGATGGACAGGGAATAAGGATAACAGAAGAACTGATGCGTTTGAGTCTGGTGCTGAGAGGAGGACTGAATATCCCATGGATTGACAAAAGAACAAATATATCTTGGAGAAAGTGCAGCCAAAGTGCTCTTTGGAGCCAAAGATGGTCAAGCTTCCTCTCACATACTTTGGGCATGCTGCTAGGAGAGGCTATTCCATAGAGAGGGACATTGTGCTTAGAAAGGTAGGGTCATTAAGAGTGGAAGACCATCAACATTGACATTGTAACTGCTGCAGTAGGTTCTAGTGTGTTAGGAAGTGTAAGGATGGCACAGGCTAGGACAGGGTTTAGATGTGTTGTTTGTACGATCGTACTCAACAGCACCTAACAACAACAATTAACTCGTGTTAAACTGACTATGATAGAAGCTTGGAAGCAATGGAATCTTGGACTGAGTATTGTTATGTGCTGTTGAGTCATCTGTAGCCCACAGCAACCCTGTGTAGCTCTAAACCCTGCCCTGTCCTGAGCCAGTCTCACTCATTCTAAAACACCAACCCCCATTGCCCCAGTGACTGTATCAATCAATCTCATCCGGAACCTTCCTCTCCTGGCTGTCCCTCCACCCTTCCAGGCATGTTGTTCTCCAAAGACAGGTCTCTCCTAGCCATGTGCCCAAAGTATATGAGACAAGAGTATGGGGGGGGGGGGTGGTCTGGTGGCCTAGTGGCAAGAAGCTGCACTGCAATCCCAGAGATATGTGGTTCGAATCCACCAGATGCTCTGCCAGAGAAGGAGGGGCCATTTCCTCCTGTACCAGTTAGATCCAATTTGACAGTACACACACACAGAAAATAATAAAATAAAATTTAAAAAAATTTTTTAAAAAAAAAGAGTATATAGAGGGGGCAAGTATACATTCAGGAACTATTTAGATGAGCTATTAAGAATGATGATGAGTCAGATGTCAGGGATACATTTCTGGTTGGTATATGTCAAGGAAACATCTTTCAGAAGTGCAAGGAAAGGTAGAAATTGTGCATTTATATTTGGACATGGTGACGAGGTTTTTTTGAAAGAGGTAGCCAAGTGGATAAATGAGTCTAAAACTTAGAGGAGAAATGTTAACTAGAGATAGAAACCTTTAGATCAGATTTAATACCTTCTGTAATCCAGCATTGAGGTCTTGACTGGAAATCTAAATGTGGAATTTATTAGAATATAAATGATACGTTGTGACCCTGAATGAAATCCCGAGGAAGTGAATGTAGATAGAAAAGAAGTTCAAGGACTAATTTTGGAATTCAGTTTCTCTTAGATTAGTAGAGGATATAAAGTGAACAGTAGTAATTAAGTTATTAAAGTTAAGATCATGAAGCAGTTGTATTTTGAGTAAAAGCAAAATCAAGGTTATGACCAAGTCACAGTAGCTGGCATGGGCTGGAAGACTAGATTACTGGAGAAGAACAAAGAACTGGGAGGCCAGAGTATCAGAAGGAGGTACATTTATCTTAAAAATACTAAGAATTATGATAGAAATAAGTATTGGAAAGAATAACAAAGACACAAATGTTTAAATCCTTAGAGAACAAGGAGTCTTTCTCTTTAGGAATCTGTCTGTAGTCTGATGGCAGATTTTTTTTTTAAGCTTTCTTTTTTTCAAATAGTGGTATGGGACAATGGAATTGAAATGGAAGGAAGACGCACCTCCAGACTTAGAGGACTGTGATAAAGAGACTAGCTATCTCTTAAGAAAGCAGAAGACAAAGCAGTGTCCTCTGGGTAGTGTCTATGTGAAAAAGCTGAGGATATTTTTGTTTTTGTTCCCTAACCATAATTCTCAGAGATGCAATAAAAAGGATAGAGAGGATTGCTTAGATTGGGAAAGGAATTTTGATTACTTTGTGAAAATGGGAGTCCATGTGGTAGGAAATGCTTTGGATAATCCTTGGCTGCATATTATGGTTTTTGCCATAACAAGGGATAAAGGAATTATAAAATTAGTTTTTATGCTCAGAAGGGTCCAGTGGCTTTCTTAATTTATGGTGTAAATCAGGACACCAGCACTGGTCTGTCCATTTGCTGTACAGAGGTAACTCGTGGTTGCTGTGATGCTGAACACTGTCACACTGATGTTTTAAATGCAATAATGGTGGACAGTGTTTGGTAAAATTTCCTGATCAAAACAAGTTTGGAAGCAGGAATGGCATCCACTTCCAAAATTACTTGCCTCCGGAAACCCTATGAATTTGGAGAAATGATAAAAGTTATACAAGTCTTCAGGTCTTTCATTCATAGGGTTGTTATGAGTTGTCTACGACTTGACAGCACTTAACAACAACAACAAACCAGGATACCATATTCATCTTAATTGGATCCACAGGCATTATCCTTGGTACCAACAGTTAGGAAATCAGGAGATGTATTGCAGTGTGAAAGTTTGCCATCAATAATTTCCAAATTATTATGGAGTAATGATGTCTTAGTTTGAGAACTAAGGTGTGTCTGAATGTATCTGAGACCTGGACCATGAATAAGATGACAGAAGAATTATTGATTCCTTTGAGCTTTGGTGTTTGAGAAGAGTACTGAATATCTGATGGAATGCCAAAAGAACAAACAAACCTACAACCAGGAGAAGAGAAAATAAATGAATGGGATCTTCTAAGAATCAAATCCCTATGCACATCCAAAAACTTCTC